TTGTACATTTTACGCAAAAGAATCTCAATTAATATATTAATTATAATTTAAAATTAATAAGTCAAGATAGCAGTTACAAAGGCMACAACGCAGTTTACAGGAAAGTGAGTGAGTGAGTGACAGATCATCCACCTACAATAACTYTTCGATTGCTAACGCAATCTCCRAGTTAAAAACCGCACCGCGCGCTAGCCAATCACAGCGCGCGAATGACTAGGATACYGGACCGAAAAAAATAAAGTCCAGTATAGCATGGACTGTATGGTCGCTTCAGTTTCCCTCGCAGTTTGAAAGATTTATCTCGGAGTTTGCGTTTAACTTCAAGGTCTTTATTTTCACAGAGCATTTGACGCTCGATAATTAAATTTTTGTTTTTGTTATGTCGCTTTGTTGCGATTTTATTGAACTTTATCAGATTAATCGACAAAATTTGAAATATAGCAAATACCCGTTTTAGGTAGAAAATACAGTACCCATTTTCTGAACTTTTCAAACAATTTTGATTGAAAAACGCCAGAAAAGGAGCATTTATCAGTCCGATTACTATGGATGTTATCCTCAAGACAAGTCTTGAGAAGCGCTTTTAAAACTTTTTGACGAAGATTTTATTGATTTAAAAAAACATGAGATTGAAGTACCTCAATRTTAGTAAGAAAACACCGTCCTGGATTTGTTTTTTTTAGTTTTTTCAGATTAAAATGTGTATTATCGCGGTTATTTAAAAGATAATAACTCTGTTTGACAAAGAGGCATAATATTAACGTTTTTCATTATTATCGTCAATATGAAAGGTATCATCAATGATGTTATCATGGTCCCAACATGGTACAAATAATACAGATGACGATGATTACGCGTATGATGGCGATGATCAGAGTTTGCGCATTGACAATAACGATGATTGCACGTATGATAGCGATAATTACACATTAATTGCACATTTATAGAGGAGCATCAAAGCTAAGGAAATTAAAGGCGCTCAAAGAGCGMATGTGGTTACTCCAACAGTACTAGATTTACAAAGTGATTAAAATTGATGTTTGAGGAGCGAATGGGTTTTAGTCAATTTCTACTAGTTAGAAATGCGTCGTACGCTTTGATTAGTGATGCGTATAACTTTGGCAGGAAAGTGTTTTTTCATTGCTACCGATAATGTAGAATGAAAGCTGTGATAGATAAAGAGCAAAAACGTGATAAAGGAACAAGATACTCACCGCTAGTAGCATGCAGACTTTGAATATTTCGCACGAGGCATTTCCGCTGTGTTATCGTAAAAACATCCGAACAGCGGTCGGAAGTTCCGCTGTATTGTCGTGAACCTGACACATTTCTATTTTGCATTACGTCACCCTGCATCGGTTAGGAACACCTGGCTACTCTGGGTTGTTGCGGACTATCTTACATCGCGCGATAACATAGTGGGTATCCGTCCCTTAGGGACGGAGTAACCACAAAAATGGTAAACCGTCGAGTCCATTTTTCATGGACCGACACAGGGCTCCCGTGCGATGATAACATCATTAACATGATAATAGATAGATAGATAGTTTATTAAAATCCATTGCAGCCATAGGGCTGGATTACGGACAATGATTAATCGTAGTGTTTCACATCTATAATAATTAACAATTATTTGCCGAAGGCGAAGTGATTATCAATGAATATTTACCGAGCGGYGATTCCGCGAGCCGCGAGGTAAACATTCATTGATAATCACTGAGCCTGAGGTGAATAATTGTTTTAGTATAATTTCATAAGTGAATATTCAAAAAAATAAAGAAAAAAGAACTACTGCATTTTCGTAAAATGTTATGTGGCGGGGATTGAAGATGGCGGTCGAGGGCCGCTCGGATTGACAGCAAAGTCGTCTTCTTGTAATAATTGGTATTTTTCTTTCTTATGGACACGTAAAACTTTGATAGACACTTGTTTAATTCACTTGTATCCATGTCTTCAAAGCTGACAGTGAATTCAGACTGTTGTTGAAACTGTGACGTCATGTATTATGTTAATCGGAACAGACCGCGTGTGTGTAGTGTGTCTGGAGTGTCAAAATGTAGAGTGTGTCTTATACGTGATTAAAGTATATTAGTAAAGACCACGAAAACGATACAGAAACCATTCTGTCAAAAAATGTATCGAGTAAAATGTAAACAAACCAGGCGAAAACCTACAAATTTCAGCCTGTTTGACGTAAAACGATAGATAAAAAAGTAGTTTTAGACAATGTTTTTATTATTAAATAAACAAAACTTACCTGTTAAAAGGTTTAATCCAATTTTTTTTAATCCAATTGTTTAATCCAACGACTCGCGGACGACGCTATTTTGCGAAAAAACACAATATTCACCTATAGGTGAACATCTCTCATTGAAGCGTCAAATTCGACCAATCAGCGCGCTRGAATTATGATATTCACTTATGAAATTATACTAACGATAATTACAGGTATAAAAGCGATGATAACATCATTGACATGATAATAGATAGATAGGTAGTTTATTAAAATCCATTGCAGCCATAGGGCTGGATTACGGACAATTACAATGTTAATTATATAGCCACATATTAATCCCAAATAGGTAAAAGCTGGATTTTTCGTTAATTTTGGAATCCTGTCCAATTAAGAAATTAATTGGACAGGTTTTCAATGAAGGTGTCATTACTGTTATTGTTAAAAGCTGTGGTTGGCTTTTACCTATTTGGGATCAATATGTGGCTATATAATTAATAGGTAATAAGACTCCATGACTCGAAAAATTCCTCTGACTGCCACGGCCACGGCCTCGTCCAATTTTTGGCAGTCCTCTGAATTTTCCTCGTTCAATTATTTCTTAATTGGACAGCATGGAGTCCTATTACATATAAAAACAACAAAACAAACAATATAATACAAAAATTCAAAAATATGAGTGACAAGAAATTCTATATATATATATAATATATGTTTGCTGAAGAAGGCCGAAGTGCTGAAACGTTCTAATAAAGAGTAGAAATACTAGTTGCAAGTTGTGTGCCTTTTTCTTCAATTTATTCAATTTATATATAAATATATATATATTATATAGCTCGGATGTAACACACGATTTTATTGGCTAAAAAGCGGGCCATACTTTCCCGTACGKACCAGAAGATACGAAAACAAACGTTTTTTATCTTAAAAAGGCTCGCTTTCTCTCTTTTTGTAGTTGTACTGTATAAAAAAGAGTCAAAAATTGAATCCAAATTTTGCCATCAAGGTTTCTCAGGCTTTTCGTTTTTCCTTCTATTTTGAATGGRCAACAAAAGTACGAACAAAAACGTATTTTTATATCCGATTCTCCATTAATTTTACTATTTTTCCCTGAAAATTCTATATAATAAATATCTTATTAACCTCGCGTACGGGAAGTTATGGAACCTCGTTTTTTTCCACTTTTTATGGCCCTCGCGCTACGCGCTCTGGCCATAAGTCAGTGTTAAAAAACTCGGTCCATAACTTGCCGTACGGCCCTCGCGCTCGGTTGATAAGATATTAATATATGTTTCTAAAATACGAAATATATTTATGGTCTGAAAAATTGGATACTATTATTCAATAATGATTACAACTATTAGAGCGATGTTTACAATATGTACAATGACAATAACGATGATTAAAGCTATAACAGCGATGATAACATCATTGACAATGATAATAACTAGTCACTAATTGTCATTTTTCCTGTAGATCCTTCTCTGAGAACACTTTGTAAGATCGCCGTTATTCAACACAAACTTAACGTTAACATCCTGCCAAAAGTTTTGAGGTAAGATTTCGGTTATCATTTCATAGACAACTTGATTTTGTTAAAGTCCTCTCATCTTCTATTGAGGTTAAAGAGCCTATGACAATCGAAATATCCTTAAAATGTTTTGAACCAATGTCCATTTCTGTGTTCGTTTCATGGTCGCCGGTCATCTTATATTTTTTGTACCCAGCCTCGAACTGAAGCCATTGTTTCGTGTTCATCCAAGCGAATTTGTGATTACCGTTTTTGGAAATCCATGCATGGTTAATAGAAGTAATAATTGCGCCAAGGGAGACTAGCCCCACTAATGTACGCCTATTAAGTATATATCTCCTATTAAGTATACCCAAACTGTTCCCGAGAAAAAAAAGATGTTGCAGAAGTTTGCTGCAGTTTGTTGTAGAGGTTTGCAGGAGAGGTCGTGTGGACGTTCACATTGTTCACAAAAGTTGCGATTTCGACCTTTTTTATTTGTCGAACTTTCGACCCATCTGGGTCATCTCAGGACTTACTGGAAAAACTACGTTACATTCTTAAATATTATAAAAAAATGCGCGCGATATGAAATATACGTAATGCTAACGTAGAACTAAAAAAATGTTAAAAGACTAAATATTTAACAATTATTCGCCGAAGGCGAAGTGATTATCAATGAATATTTACCGAGCGGCGATTCCGCGAGCCGC